GTCAGTACCATTATGATACTCTTAAAAAACAACTCTGTTAATTTGATCAGCAAAATTGATTTTATTCTTATTTTTATTTTCTTAATTACAAATGCATTTGTATATTTTTCTTATATATAAATTTGACTACTCATACAAGTGGCATTAGACAGTGTTTGTCTTTTTGTGACCAGTTTATTTCACTTAGCGTAATGTCCTCCAAGTTTACCCATGTTGTAGCATGTATCAGAATTTCCTTCCTTTTTTTTTTTTTTTTTTTTGGTTTGAAGTATTACTTTTATGTAGCTTAGAAAAAGGCTACCATTTATATCTGATTATTTATACATAGTCTAATTTGGTAGTGGTCTTATAGGTCATATAAATTTGCCTTCTCCTCCTCCTCCTTCCTCTTCTCCTCCTCCTCCATTTTTCTTTCTTCTTTGAATTTCCTTCCTTTTAAAGGCTGAATAATATTCTACTAATATGCATGTACTACCTTTTGCTTATCCATTCATCAATGATGGACATGTTGATTGCTCCCATGTTTAGCCTGTTATAAAGAGTGTTGTAATAAACACGGGTATGGAAAGATTCCTTTGAGACCCTGCTTTCAGTTCTTTGAGGCATATACTCAGATATGGAATTGCTGTGTCAATTTCTGGGATTGTAGTTTTATTTTTGAATTTTTGAAGAATTCCCATGCTGTTCTCCATAACAGCAGCTCCATTTCACAGTCCAGTGCTCACAGTTCCAACTTCACATCCTCACCCCCATTTGTTTTCTGTTTTGTTTTGATTTGTTTTTATAGTGGTCACCCGAAAGGTTATGAGAGGACATCTTGTGGTTTTGATTTGCATTTCTATGACTGGTGATGCTGAGCACCTTGCCTATGTTCCTTGGTCATTTGTGTATCTTCTTTGGAGATTTGGCTATTCAAGTTCTTTGTCCATTTTTTACAGATGAGTTATTGGGGGGGGGGGGGGAGTATTGCTATTGTTGTAGAATTATAGGAGGTCCTTCTATATTCCAGATGTGTAAATTCAGGTATATGGCTTGAAAATATGATCCCCATTCCATAAGTTGCCTTTTCACTCTAATGACCATTTCCTTTGATACACAGACATGTGACATTTGGAATAGTCCCATTTATCTATTCTTGCTTTTGTTGGCTGTGCTTTTGGTGTCCTTATCCAAGAAATCACTGCCAAATCAAATGCCATGAAAATTTTCCCTCAAGTTTTCTTGTAGGAGTTTTATAGTCTTAGGTCTTGGATCTAAGTCCTTGGTTCATGTTGAGTTGACTTTTGTATATGGTGTAAGGTAAGGGTCCAACTTTATTCTTTTGCATATGATATTTAGTTTTCCCAGAACCTTTTGCTCCTTTGGCAACTTTGTCAAAAATCCTTTGACCATAATTGTGAGGATTTATTTTTGGGCTTTTTATTCTGTTGCATTGGTCTATATGTCTGTCTTTATTCCAGCCAATACAATGCTGTTTTGAATACTGTGGTTTTGTAATAAGTTTTAAAATAATGAAACCTCCAATATTGTGTGTCTCCCCCTCCTCTCCCCCGCCCCCCTTTTTTTTTTTCAAGATTGTTTTGGCTACTCAGGTCCCTTGAGATTTCATGTGAATTTAAGGATGGATTTTCTATTTCTGTAAAATATACCATTGATACTTTGATATAAATTGTGCTAAATTTGCAGATCGCTTTGGGTAGTATTGATACATTCACGATATTAAGTCTTCCAATTCATGAACACTGTGTGTCTTTCCAAACTTTATCAATTTTTTTTTAATATTAAGTCTTTTTATTTATTTTTATTAATTTCAGAGAGGAAAGTAGATAGAAAACTCAATGATGAGAGAGAATCATTGATTGGCTGCCTCCCACATGCCCCCACTAGGGATCCAGCCCACAAGCTGGGCATGTGCTCTGTCCAGGAATTGAACCAGTAAACCCCTAATTTATAGGTTGAAGCTGAACCACTGAGCCAGGCCAGCTTTATCTTTTTAAAAATAATTTTTTTTCATATACCTTGCCTTTTTTGGGTTATCTTAATACCTTTAATTTTCAATGTTTGTGAATGCTTTAACATTTTGTCATATTGTGGCAAATATTCTCCTAGCTAGTTATTCATCTTTCCATTTTTTGATAATTTTTAAAAATCTTATTAAATTTTGGAGGATGGTATGGGGCCCAGCTAGGGATAGAATACCTGGGAAGTGACAACAGTGCCCCTGGTGGCGAAGCGATTCAATCTCCAGATGCAAAATGGGCAAGAGCGCCCTGTGACCTGTGGTGGTATGGTGTTTTTTTGTTTGTTTGTTTTTTGATTTTTTTTTTTTAATAGTAAAGAGAGATACGGGTGCCCACTGTTCTACAGGCCTTTGAGGAACAGCTCTTTTGAGCTCTCCATAGACATTAGACAGAAACCCAGAGGGGCTGGGCAGTGGGAACAATCTGAGTCTTAAGCCCTGTATGTGACAGGTGGCGTAGACTCACGAGGATGCAGAGTTCTTGAGGACAGAACTGTGGTCTTGGCCATCTCACATATCCAGTTCAGTGGTCTCGGGCACTGAGTGGACACTCAGTCAATAGCTGCTGGCTGCCAGGCACAACTTAGCATGGCATTTCAGTGCTTCCTCCACCACAGGGCATTGGCACCCAAAGGACTTCCCGCCTTTCTGCCAGCAGCTCCAGGAACAAGGAAGGTTTCTCAGAGAAAGAGACCCAATGTCCCATCTCTAACGGGCTGATTTGACCATAGTCCAATAGCCACCCTAAGAAGAAGGCTTCCTCTGTGGTGGTGTCTGAAATTCCATGAATAGTTTTTTCGGTTTGTGTTATCCTAACTTTTTTTTTTTTTTTTGGAGGGGGGGACTGTCCCGCCAAAAGTGGAACGTCTGGTCACCTTAGATTATTAATCCCTAATGTTAGTGGATTGCATAGTTTATCTTCTTTTTTTAAAAAAATAAATCTTTATTGTTCATATTATTACAAATGTTCCTCTTCTTCCCCCCCCCCCTCCATTGCTGTCCTCCACCAGGTTCCCACTCTACCCTCTGCCCTTTCCCCACCCCCCACTGTCCTCATCCATAGGTGCACAGTTTATGTTCAGTCTCTTCTGAGAGAAAGGTGCCCTCAATTTTTGCCTGCTACCAAACAGTCTAGGCTCTCCCCCAATGAGCCCGGAACTGGGGTTCAGTTCAGTTGGAAGTGGGATTGGAAGTGTGGTTCAGAGCAGTCTGAAGCTTGTCGCCTTCCTGCCAGAGCAATCCCACGGCACAGCCAACCGTCTGTTCTCTGTGCGCAATGTGTGTGCCTCCCGGACCTCCTTTCTCAGCTCCCCTGGGTTTCCGCCTTACAGCCCAGCTCCCTCTGTATGAGCCTGGTTCCCCAGGGTCTGGCCTAGAACTGGGATTCAGTGCAGTCGCTACTGGGGCTCAGCACAGTCCGGAGCTTTTGTCTCCTTCCCACTAGGGCAATCTAGCAGCAGAGTCAACAGTCTGTCCTCTGCGAGCAATGTGTGCACCTCTGGGGACTCTGCCTTTTGCCGCTCCCCTGAGATTCCGCCTAATAGCCCAGGCTCCCTCTATATGATCCTGGGTCCCCAGGGTCTGGCCTAGAACTGGGGTTCAGTGCTGTCGGGTCTGGGGTTCAGCACAGTCGGAGCTTTTATCTCCTTCCCGCTAGGGAACGCCAGCCAGGCACTCAGCCTCTCCCTCCTCTCCGGCTCCGTCCTCTCCGCGCGCGCAACGTGTCTCCGTACCTTAGGCTTTTATAGCTCCTCTGATTTTCCTTCTGGTTTTCTCTTTCCTTCTCGTTGTAGAATTTCCAGTCAGTTGACTTTCCTGTAGTTCTGGGTAATGTCCATTTTATATTTTAGTTGTGTTTTATTGAAATTGTTGTGCGGCTGCGGTTAGGTGATTACCTGTGCAGCCATCTTGGATTCTCCTTATCCTAACTTCTTTGAAAATGCCTCAAAAAGGGGCATCCACATTGGGCCTCTGAGCCTTCATGAGACTGAGTTGGTCATGTTACAGTTTTCTTCACGAGACAGACGATTGCCAGAAAGGGACAGCTGACCAGAAGGGAGCATTAGACTCACCTGCTCCAGTAAACAATGCTTATTGTTTATTGCATTTTTTTTTTTTTCTTGTCCTGACCAAACATTTTAAGAACCTTGGCTGAATTATCCTCCCCAAGCAGGTGGGCTCTAAACTTTCCTACTCAAACTTCAACAATGGCTTAAAAATATAGGAGCTACTCACACACACACCCCCCCCCCCCCCCTTTCCATAAGCCTCTCTCTTAGGAGCAGTGACACCCCTCCCCACCCTTGCAGGCGCCAACAGAGAAAAATCAGCCCCTGGCTAAACTGCCATAATTGCGGTTGTATTTCTTTTCCTTCATAGGAATATCAGGTGTGTTTTCTATGAACAGTCCCCTCGGTGTCGGTGTGACTTGCATTTGAGCCCAGCCAGAGGACCTGCTTGCAAGGCAGTGGCGGCTGGCATTGACTGAGCACCTGCAATGTGCCAGGCACCTGGCCAGAGGAGCACTGCCCGCTGGAAATGACTTGGTTAGGCAGATGTTATCATTCCCGGGTTAACTGAGAACCAAACTGAAATTCTGAGAGAAACAAAGGAGTTTGCGGAGTCATGAAGCTGGGATGAATTCCAGAGACTCAGTTGTCTACCCATTCCCATGGGGGCAAGGGGCAGTCATAAATTCCTTTTATACCCCCACTGGACTTTGCATAGGACCTTGGTGCCTCTCACAGGGAATGCTTGTAACAGAAACCCACTCAGAATGAGCTGGAACAAACGTGTGGGTTTATTAGGAGGGTTATTGGGTACCTGCTAGGGTCAGAGGAAGGTTGACCACCATGGTCAGCAGCGGGAGTCCTTGGGCTTTCTCTCTGCCGCTCCACCCAGGAGGAGGCTCAGTAACCTGTACCTGTTTTTTAGTTGGCCTATCAAGGGAGAGAACCCCATTGGCTGCTGGCCAGTCAATGGCTTGACTCCTTCAGTGTAGGGTGTTCACATCTAGTCCAATCAGCTATGACAGTCATGAAGTAAAAACCTGGTATCTAGGCACTAGGTTTTGTGGATAGATGAAACAGTTCTCTAAAAAAATATATTCACACACACACACACACACACTCACTGTTCTGTACTGGGCAAACAACCTAAACATATATTTGGCTGTAGTTCAATAAATATTTATTGTTTGTTTTTTGGGGGGGACGGGGAGATCCTGACCAAACACTTTGAGAATTTTGGCTGAATTACCCTTCTGTTTTTCATTTAGTCCCTAGGCAGTGTCCACATTTGGTCAGGAAAAAGATGTGGCATTTCTATATGCCTGTTGTCCCCTTGTTTATAATTACCGGGGCAAGTCAAGAAAGGAGAAATGGCCTATTTATTGTAAAAGGGTTGGTTTTGAGGGGACCGAGGAAATGGGGAGACATCTGCGGCCGAGGCTATTGTGTTTGTTGCTGGAAGGCCACCAAGGCCAGTTATTACATGGGTGGGAGGCAACAAATAGGTGCTTTGTTTTTCCCACAGGAAGTTATTTTCCGTTTTGCAAATTTGTTGACTCTTTATTGTGTCTGGGGTAAATATCCTGAATGCCTGAAACTCTTTTTTTCCCTTCAGCGTGCCCTGACTTTGTATTTTACATAACCCCAGAGCTGACCAAAAAGCATGTGAAATAACATTACCTACAGGTTAGTTCCTTGGCGCCGAAGGCTGCAAGCACATACATAAGTCTTATGCTGCCACCATGTGGGCGCTGCTGGAATCACGAGGCACTTTTGGTTAAAATTATTTCTTATATAATGGAGTTTCAGAAACAAAATGAGCAAATAAACAAAAAACAAAAATCATGATGGAACAATTTGCCTGCTAAAAAAATGCCCTTCTGCAAGGCTTAAAGGGATAGACAATATTGCTAGGTGTGGCCAAGTTAGGTAGGTGAGGGTTTGAGACCTGTCTCAACCTACCATTATCAGTGAGTGTCCTTAGACCAGCCACTTGGGGTTTTCTAAGCCTGAAGTGTAAAAAACCAGTACGAGCATCCATTTCATAGGTTTTATGTTGACTAAATGACCTTTCTGTGTCAATATTTAGCACTTGGAAAGCAATAAATGACTGCTATTGTTGTCAAGGAGAGAGAGAGGTGCCAGAATGGAGGGTTGGGAGTGGGGGTGGAATGTGCATCAATAACACAAATACAACTGAAAACTCAACCTATGCCCTAGAGCAGAAGTGCAATAAACACTTGAAGGGGGAGAAGGAGGAAATGATGTCACTGGAGATGGTTCTACTTGTCAAAATGGGGATGAAAAACATTACTATTCATTTTAGAGTCATTTTAAGGCACTATTAAAATATTGAATGCTCGTGCAGTAAGGATTCTAGAAATGTACTTCTATTTCCTTTTTTTTCAAATAGAGCGATTGAGTGGTTGGATCACTCCTCAGTTAATATGTAGTTCCAGACTGGGATTAGAACCTAAGTCTTCTGGCAAGTAATCCAGGGCCCTTTCCACAGGCTGAAACAGTGCTCAAGACTGGCCAGATCAGGACTGCCCCAGGTTGTTTTCAAAAGGCGAAAGATTTATGCGGTCTGAAGAGAAACCAGAGCATTGATATTTTTTAAAAAGTTCACGGATGTGATTACCTGACAACAGACTTCATGTCTTACAACTAAACTCTCTCTTGCACATGACCAATCGGCCTTGGCCACTTTCAAACCGTTGGCTTCCTAACTCTGGATCTGGATGATGATAAACTCTTTTAATGGCAAGAACATGTATTACCTCTTTATACCTCCTGGCACCTTGCACAACTACCCTTTTTAAACTCTAAGATACAGATTTATATGCAGTTGTAGGAGACAATACAGAGATCTGGTTTTTACCATTTTCTCCAATGGGAAGAGTTTAGATTATAATACAACCAAGGTGCTGACATTGATATAAGCCACTGATCTTTTTCGCGTTTTCCCAGCTTTCATTGTACCGTTATGTGTATCTATACAACTCGCTTACACGTGCAAGTTCATGTGTTCATCATCAGCGTCCAGATGCAGAAGTCCATCATTCAGAGCTCCCTTTTTACAACCATACCCATTGCTCTCCTGTGCTCTCCCCACTCCGTCCCTACACTCTGGTGACCACTAATGGTTACTGGGCCTTTTTCACTCGACACAACTCACTAGAGATTCGTCCAGATTGCTGCTGTGTCAGTAGTTTGATCCTTTTTAGTGCTGAGAGTATTTGGACATGTAGATGTACCACTAACCATTCAACCCCTTGATTGGCATTAGGGTTGTTTCCTGTGCTTGGCTACTAGGAGTAAAGCTGCTATGAAAATTTGTGTACAGGTTTGGGTATAAATATGTTTTTATTTATCTGCGATAAATGCCTAAGAGTGCAACTGCTGGGTCGAAGAGGAATTGCATTTCCCCTTTCACACACTCCTCCCCTTTGGCAATCACTGGCTTGTTCTCTATAACTATGGGCCAGTTTCGGTTTTGTTTTATTTATTCATTTTGTTTTTTAGGTTCAATATAAAAGTGAGATCATATAGCACTTGTCTTTCTCTGACATGTCAGCATAATAATACCCTCTAGTTCTGTCCATTTGCAAATGGCAAGATTTCATTTGTTTGTGGCTGAGTAATATTCCATTATATATGTACCACATCTTCTTTATCCATTCATTTACTGATGGTCAGCTAGGTTAGTTCCATATGTTGGTTATTACTACTGTGTTTTCCCGAAAATAGCGCATGGAAAGATAAGACATCCCCTGAAAATAAGACCTAGCACAACTTTGGGAGAAAAAATTAATATAAGACTCTGTCTTATTTTTGGGGAAACAGGGTAATAATGCTGCAATGAACATGAAGGTGCAGAAATATATTTTCAAGTGACTTTTCATTTTCTTCAGATAAATACCTAGAAGTAGAATTGCTAGGTGGTGTGATAGTTGTTTTCAATTGTAGGCGCCTCTGAACTGTTTTCTATAGTGGATGTACCAATTCACCAGCAGGGCACACGGGTTCCTTTCTGTCCACATCCTCACCAATACTTTTATTTCCTGTACCATTTCCTGTACCTTATCAAATACCCATTCTAACAGGTGTGGAGTGAGGGGACATCTCACTGTAGTTTTGATTTGCATCACCCTGATGTTTAATGATGTTGAGCATCTTTTCGGGTACCTGTTGGATATCCAGGTCTCTGGAAAAATGTCTACTCAGATCTGCTACCCATTTTTAAATCGGATTACTCGGGGGTTTTTGCTATTGAGTTGTTTCTATATTTTGGATATTAACCCTTATTTGCCAACATGTTCTCCCATTCAGTGGGTTGACTTTTCCTTTTGTTGATGGTTTCCTTTGCTGTGCAGAAACTTTTTAATGTCCTGTTTTTTGTTTTTGGTGTCAGTTTTTTTTTTGTTTTTTTTTTAAATCACCACCAGACCAATATTAAAGAGCTTACCACTTGTTTTCCTCTAGTTTGTATAGTTTCAGGTGCTGATTTTCAAGTCTTTAATTCATATTGATTTTCATGTCTGGTGTAAGATAATGGGGTCTAGTTTTCCCAACACCATTTATTGAAGAGGCTGTATATATTCTTGGCTCCTTTGTCGTAAATTAATTGACCATACATGCATGGACTTATTTCTGAGCTCTCTATTCTGTTCCTTTGATCTATTTTTATGCCAATACCATACTCTGATTATCACACCTTTGCGACTGGTCTGAAATAAAAAGCGGGTGGCACTTAATGCATCTTCCATACTTAGCTTTGTAGTGCTGGGATCCGGGGACTAGCCAGCCTCGTTCAGCTCCACACACTGAGAACTGAACAGGCTGAAGAGTGCATCTGCCAAGGCCGCCCACCAGTTCCTAGTCCAAACCTCACCAGTTCCCTCCTAACTCACACTTTTCTACGTATCACTTGCTATGCATGTTCAGGAAACATGCAAAAGCATAAAGGAGAGAGAGTTCAGTGGCTTATCTTCAGGGAAAGTCGGGGGTTGACCTAGAACTTGAAAAGCTTGGCCCTCTCGTCCCTCCCTGCCACGGCAAGGGCTACCAGCTGCTTGAAGGAATGTCCAACTTTTTCTCTCTGCACGGTTCCAGGTCCCCAGAAATTTCCCATCAGCTCCTCAGAGATGTGGCCTAACCTGTACCACACCTGGACTTCCACATGTCACCCGGTTAATTTAGTGTGTCCGTAGGCAGTTCAGACAGAGGTGGCCATGGTGAGCTGCCTCCTCCTTTCTGAGTGGAAAGGCTCATGAGCAGCCTCAGGAAGAGCCGAGTGGTAGGGGCGTCTAGGGACCTGGAAGACCCTCTTGTAAACCCAGGAGCAATTGATGGGCTGGAGACTGACTTGGGGTAAGAGTGGTGAAGTCTTCTAATTGAGGGTGTGTCGGGGCTCAGGGAGAAAGCGCTTTTTACTTATCTCAGCGTTATTAGTTTCTGTTTCTAAAACGGCCGTGTGCTGGTGGTAAAGCTCATTTTGTCCTGGAGACAGAGCACCGTTACCTGTTTTTAACCGACAGAATGAAAAGCAAGTCTCATTTGAGATATACAAGATATGTCTACAACTTGGGTACAGTAAGTCCATGTTACTCAGCATGGCCCACAGAGCCAGGCTGTGCCTGTTAAGACCCCCAAGAGATTTGTATGCAGATTAATCTGACAAGCATGGCCCTAGGGCAGTTCAGGTACCATAAACACAGCTGAGAAAAGCAGACTGGCCACAGGCACGCAGGGGGAGAGGGTGCTGACGCAGCCAAGGGTTGAAAGCAGCTCTCGGCAGGACTTGCAGATTCCAGCTTAGGTGGGAGTGTGCGTCAGCACCCAAGTTCCTCAGCGTTCCCGTGACCACTGGCTCAGCTGAGCAGTAGTGTGGAGTAAAAATAATTCACTTCCTGTGGCTCAGGCGTCACTTCAGCCAAACATGGAGCTCCTCTGCCCCTTCTCCTCCCCTCTGGGGTTGACAGCTACAGGGCAGAAGAGGCGTCTGTTTTTGTCACTATCCTTTCTGAAAACCTCTGAAGATCGCAATAACAAGCTCACAGAATATGAGATGATTAAACAAACAAGCTACACCACCACCCCTTTAGTTGCAAAACTCACACATTCAAGTTTTCAGGATTCTCATCCCATTCTTTTATTTCCTCATCCCACAAACATTTAGTTTATCTGCCTTTTTACAACCTGATTTACAAGCAAATGAAAAGCAGGCATTCATTAATCCTCCAAAGAGCATGTATGAAACATAGCACAAACCCTAGTATTTATACCTAAGCAGACTTAGTAGAAGCAGCTTCGTCACAATCTCTTAAATTCACATTAATTTAAATATTGATGCCTGTTAAGGTTTGTATAATCTACTGTACATAGTTATTTGTGAAGCAGGTTAAGACTTTAACTGGGAAAAAAAACCTTCAACAAAATGCTCTAACAACAATTATGTGAAACTTATTTACAGTTAAACACTTAGTGCATATCATGATTTCCTGAAGAGTTTCACGGAGAAGGGCATAAGCAGCATGTAGAATATCCTCCAGGTAAAACCCAAAGCAAATGGCTTTTATAAAAATGTCTGTCAATATGCTTACTGGAAACTAGAAAGAAGGAGCAAAACAACCTTCAGCAACTGCACCTGATTTGCACATTTAAATAAACAGCAGCAACCAGGACAGACACAGGAGCGGGTGCCATTTTTGAGAATACTCTATATTATGCACAGGAGGAAAACAATCGCCCCCCCCCTTTTTTTTTTAACAAAAAAATCACCCCAAATATTCACTACATGTGAACTTGGGGTAAAGGTTTCCTGCCGAAGGACAGTACCTTTCATAACAGCCATCAGCTTAGCTAATCCGATTTCAAAGGGAACAGATAAGGTGCCAGAGCCCAGGGTTACCCCTGAAGCCCTCAAATGGATCCAACAGTGATTTTACATACAAAACGAAGGAGATGACTGAAAGAATATCAACAAGACAAACTGGTTTTACAGTGAAGTGATCAATTTCTGGGGATCAGGTAAAGTCTTTTACAAACGAAAACACAAATATTTACAGTAAACATTTTTAACTCTGGAATGCAGATATAGTACAATTACTAGAACAGTACATTTACAAAACTGCTCGGGCAGTTGTTACTCCAGAGTGAGAATTAGAAAATGTACAAGCCAGTTCACAACTTTAGATATGTTATTAAAATACATTGTTAATCATAAAAATACTTTACTATGTACATGTTCACTGTAAAAACTCAAGATTTACCTGCTGAAGGAAGCCTCTCCATTTCCAGCCCATTGGCCCAGGACACGCTACAGCCCTGTCACCTGGTGCTCACGCCACGCTCTGGCTGGAGCTGCGGCCAGTTCTCGGAAGAAACAGCAAGCGTGTCCCTCTGCAGGGGTCTAGTTGGAAGAGTCTGTTTTACTGCCGCTGTATTTTACTCTCTTAAATGCTGGTCCAAGTAACTCTGGGCATTCACATAATTCATTTGCAATTTGGTTGCACTTTAAAATAAGGCTATAGTTTATCTGATCGGTTATTACACTGTCTTGCTTGTAGTCAGGATGGTTTGCAATAAACTCCCTCATCCATTTGGCGATTGTCATTAGTTCTCCTGAAAAAGGGAAAAAAAAAAAAAAATTAAGGCACTTTAATAGTGCTCTTCAAAATAGTGCTTTTTAAAATATAAGTTGACATTTGGCTAGGATGACAATCCTGAAGAAAAGCCAGCGTGACCTTTTGGTGTGGCCAAGTGGCAGGGCTGGGGAAGCATGCTTTCCATAGTGTTTGCAGGACTCCTCCTGGGAAGGAATTCTAGGCTGCAGGCAGCAACTCGACCACACACATCCCGTGCTGCCTGGCCGATGCTACCCGCACACGGACCGACACTGCCAGCTCGTAAGAAACGAGAACCAGCATGTGCACTAAGGCATTTGGCCAGAGGGCTAAGACCACATATGCTGGCCATGTCATGAGACTGCATAGAGGATAGCAGGTCCCGAGTTTTCCAGAGCGACCTTTGCTCAAAGAGGTGGAGAGAAAAAAGGACAGTAAGTGGAGTGAATGGAGAGGGGAAACTGGCATACATACCATCGGGGGTACATCCCGTGTAAAATGGATGCCATTACCACCATCACTGTTGCTCTTGTTCACAGCTGATGGCTCCCCTAGGCTAACAGGAGGGGCTCCTGGGGGTGCTCACCATATGCAGCAGGCTGAGACCCCGATGGCCTCACCGTGTTGTGATGGTGCACAGTGAGCACGGCTGGACCTCTGTGACAACGAGGCAATCTAGATACTGTGTCCAAAATGTCATCAACTTAACGATGCACCAATTTTATGAATCGGTATTAAAAAACAGCACTGCTAATTAAACAGTGGCTATCAAAGATTACAAGGTGTATCTGATTGTAAAGAAGTGAAAAGGTGTGTATTAATACATGCATCCTTTTAAACAGCAGTCACCAACCTGCGGTCTGTGGACCACTGGTGGTCTGTGAAATCCAAAAAGTTGGTGACTGCTGCTTTAAAGGGCACCTTGAAGAATCTGAGTATTCTAAGATTGAGAGATTGTGCCTACATTGAGATTTGTTTTTTAAAGAAAGGAAAGGATACCATACCAGATGCTCTCTTCTTAATCAGCTTTAGGTAGTTCAGAATACTACATCTGGTGTCCACATCCACTTCCATGTTTTCCAGGTAGCAGTTGAGAATCGGGATCAGCCCAGGAAACACGCCTTCCTACAAGAAGCAGGATGTGCCATGAGCTTATAGTACTTCCTGCTTGTGGGTGTCGGCCGGCCGGCAGGCAGTGGGCTCACAGGACCCTACCTTCCCATTGATGATGGTGTCTATGCTCATCAGGGCATACTCCTCATGCTCCTCTGTGGCCAGCTCCGTGCTCTGTTGGGCCTTGCCATAGCCGTCCACCACAGCGTTGCCACCTGCTGGTGACGGCAGAGCAGTGTTAGTGGCCTGTTGTAGCCTAAGTGACCCCAGAAATCCAAGAGGATGTAATACCTTTACAAATATCTTTCCTGAAGTAGAACATTCCCTGCAGGACAGCATCTCGTTTCTGTGCGACTTTCATGTTTTCATCAACCTGGGGAGAAAAATAACATGCCTAAGTCAGAACACTCTGGACCAACCAGAGCTGTGCCTCCGTCACTTCTGCCATCAGGACTCGCCTGCCTCAAGTATTCTACCGTCCTTTCCGCGGTTTCTGGTCAGAAGAGCAGACTTTTCACTTTTATGTGGGGGGGACTGTGTCACTCAACCGCAAGTTGGTTATGTGCTTTTTAACAATAATGGGGGAAAAGAGCAGCTCACCTTAAAAAAACAAAACAAAAAGCTATAATCACGTAGGCTGCCTGCATTTCAAGGCACCTTTGTGGCTGACCTTCTAGGAAACCTGTCTTGAGGGCAGGTGGCTGGCTGGCTCCCTTTACACAACACACGACTCCTCCAAGACCCCAGGTGAGGAAAGGCAGGGAACCCAGTCCTGGCTCCCAGTTCAGTGCTCTGCCCCCGCCACCCCAGGGGTTTTGCTGCCTCGCTTGTTGTCAGATCTGGACCGAGCTTAGCTCTCCAGGATCAGAGGGTCTGCCCTGGCATGTTCACTTATTCACCAGACCAAAACCTCTTCACCCGTGAATTTCCCATCTCTCCAGTGACTTTTCAATACTCACAAAGAGCTTTTAAAGCTTCTTCGTAATCCCTTACTTCCTATGATGAAATCTGAGGGGATTCTCAATATATGAAAGACCCAAGTTAGAGGGTCACATTGAACTAGCACGGGCTATACCAAGTCTTTGATTACTTGGCCTCTTCACCATATTCGTTAATTCTTAAGGTTGTTTTTTTTTTAAGACACATATGACCTGAATAATCTACCTCTAGAAACATATTCAAATAACTGTCTAAAATTCCACCGTGGTCACTGCCCTAGCCAGTTTGGCTCAGTGGATAGATCAACCAGGGCTGGGGACTGAGTCTTCAACCGAGGTATCAGAATCAGACCCTGGACCTTCAGTCTGTGGGCAGGCACTATCCACTGAGCCAAACTGGCTAGGGCCATTTACTGAATTTTAAAATTGTGGCTACCATTGTTCTTTGTTTCTAACAACTGTTCTCCAAATGCTCTGTGGTCCACAGTGCTTGCTTCATGGATGTGAGCCTTCTCCAGAATTTCCTCGCAGGCACTAGTTAGAATTTAAGACTTCTTTCCAATTTCTTCAATTAACTGTGTTTCACTTAGGGTAATATAGGCTCTTTAAGGCCATTAAAAGTTCTTAGTTTCCTACTGACTTTTAGACATCTATTGTAAACAAAGGCTTAGACTGGTAGCTTACATGGACTATGCCTCAGATGGGCTGCTCTCCCCAACAGGTACTCCCCAATCTGTGGGTCCACGGAATTCCACGGCCCACTTTGGCTTGGGTGTGAGAGCAGGCAGGGGCAACCTGGCAGCCAGACTGCCTCCAGGGACAGGGGCAGCTGCAGTGCCCTCTGGGGGAGAGGGAGCAGAGCTCCGGGGTTTCTTCCTCCTTCCACACTTACTGGGACAGGGCTGCTCTGCTCTAACACCTCACCAGACACCCCGTTCTGCCTGGCAGCGTTTCCCAGCCATTTTTCTCTGGCTCGGGAACCAAAAATCTTCTATTTGTTGCCTCACAGCCTATTCTGAGGCTCTGCCAGGAAACTGTTTCTAGAAGATTCCTTTTCTGTTTTTTATTGGGCTGGGACTGATTTAACCTTGATTTTGTTTTTCTGATGGTGCAAGCCATCACATTCTCCAGGAACAGCTCCAGTTCAGCCCCACTGCAGGGACTGTCCCCTGCACTCCAGCAGCTACCCGTTCTCCTTGCATCCTAAGTTTAATACTGTAACCAAAAGAATAGGACAGAGGGAGAAGCATTTTATTCTAAAGCACATGTGTCAAACACAAGGCCCGCGGGCCAAATCCGTCCCGCCAGGCCTTGCAATGTGGCCCGCACCGCGCTGTCATCACTGCACTCCGCTGCGTTTCCATCACAATGACAGTTTATGATTGTTCAGTAAACCATTCGGCCCGCGATTTCGGCTGGATTTTAGATTTTGGCCCCTTCTCTGATTGAGTTCGACACCCCTATTCTCTGATTGAGTTCGACACCCCTATTCTAAAGAGTGAACAATTCTAAATGAGTTCACATTTAAAATTAATATGTTATATAAAAGAACAGAATAATCTACAGCTATCCAGACCCACTGCTACCCTTTATCACTCTCTTACCTTTGATAGTGGAATGAGAAAATCTAATTTGTATGAAAGGATCACTCTCGTGAGCAGCACCACAAACACCACATACGCAGAGTTCTCGAAGTCTGTTAACTGAACCTAGACAGGCAGGAGCCCAGAAGTTAGCAACCCACCACACAAGCAAGCCATTCCCCAACAAAGCCCTCCTCAGACCACATCACCCCCAATTCCCCATCGGGGTCTGGGTCTCCTCACAATCTATTCTCAGAAATCAACCCTCATAGCTTTTGGATGTGCTGACTGTGTGCACACACTTGATCTGTATTGGCTTCTAGTGAATTTAGGAGCCTCTGCTAAGAGCATCAGAGGGTGGTGGGCAGTCAGAAGACGGGTGCATGTGAGTTTGCTCCTGCTAACCCTCGTCTTACCTCCATGGGCCGGAATTCCACTCTCCATCCAATGTCTGAGTTTGGAGGAGGAGGTTTAAATCTCATTGTCTGCCAATTTGTGGACTGAATGTTCTGTAATAAAAAAGGCAGAGAATAAAACCAACTTTCCATAGCCACAGAAAATACTAAGATGATTTGATAGTTAATGAGGGAAGACTGTTTGCTGCCCATACCTAATACTCTTAAAATTATACCTTTTTTGTTCTTATAAATTAAAGATTTTCTTGGAATGTGACCTGCTAGGAAAACAAACAGCAAGTGTTTAATAAAAGCTGGGTGATATGCCAGCAGCACTGTAATAACTGACCAGGTTATTTTTATGTAGCATGCTTGAACTTTTCACCATGCTGCAAACAAGAGAAAATATTGAATAAGAAATTTAGAACTGGAGATATAACCTGTAGGAATCAGAATAAAAGTACCTTGTACCAACTTAAAATGTGTCTTGGTTTCTTACTGTACTAGATAATGAAAGGCACATGAGGTTTTCCACTGGCCAATTTCTCACAGACACAGAAAACTGCCTCCGTTTTGGTTAGTGAGATAAAAATGCATTTAAAACAGGAACTACCTCAAAATGGTCAGACTCATTGGCATCATCCAGGTGTATTTTCTCTTCAAACAGAGTCAGCGGGTCTCTGATAAAGAGATGAGCAACATGCTGGGCCAGGAGGTGGTCAATGCCTGCAAAGAGAAGTGGCACTGGACTCACTACACCGCTCAAGGCTCCACTGTCCTCCAAGTCCCAAAAGAAGACAGGACAGCTCAGGAGGTTGTAGAGAGAGTACCTAGAAGCTCAGGCAGTGGCTGGTTGGTTCGGCTTTCTCGTGTGGCCCAGGACCTTATCCTACGGGCCCTGGGGAAGCGCCGGAGTTTCATTCGCTACTTACACAATGCCTGTTGGGGCACTGGTGGGACCTAGATACAGACCTCCAAAGTAAGTTCCTTTTGCTAAAAGTCAAGAAGATCTCACAAGTATTTGGAACTTGAAACTTTAGGAACAAGCAGCCTCCTAAGAAAAGTTAGAGACTTCACACTAAAAACAGAAATCAGACCAGGAGTCAGCAAAAAAGTTTAAGAGAGTTTTGAAGAACTAAAGACATGTAATCAAATCTAGGGAGAGTGGGGGAGAGGCATGGATGCTCACCTTCCCGCAACAGTTGGTCGTAGATTTCTTTATCTATTGTCAATTCGATGTCATTGTATTTCTCGCCACACTTGGACAGATAACTGTCTATTGAATCATATCGGGATTTACTAATCCTATAGTTATTGTTCTTCAGTGGCTAAAATTTAAAAAATGTGAAATGAATGCCATATAAAATTATCTGGAAATAAACTTATGCCCCAAATAATTTCATTAAAATGCTGCATGTTTTTATATATAATAATTATATTAAAATGTCTAATCTTAACATAAAACTCTGAAAAATAACACTGAAAAGTAATATTAGGGAAAACTTATTTTAAAATTAAGTAGGCCTTTTGCATGATGATTTAAATATACCTTAACTTTTTCTTTTTTAAAGCACATCACCTTCATTCTTATTAAGCTTCAAAAATAAACGCCAAGGTTGACAGCAAAATAATAATAATAAGCCTATACTGTAAAAGAAAACTTTCAAAATGATTTCTCCTTTAAAGTTCACTTTTTTTTTTAAAGCATATTCAACAATGTTCATACTTCATGCAGTATGAACAACTGCATGAACAGCAGAGCAGCAGTAGTGTGCCCTGGTTCAGAACATCAGAATTACTTTGGAGGGCTCCTTTAAAAACACCTATGTCAAGGTTCCGGTCCTGGGAAACTTATTAAAGGTCTGAGATGGGCCATGGGTCTATTTTTTAAAGATCTCCAGAACTGGTTCTGGTAGATATTCTTGGTTGGAGAAATGCAAGGTCACAGTTCAGCAGGCAAACAAGAGGCACTAACTGACTCTTATAAGGCAAAGCCTAACCCTTCATATGAGGCAAAAAAATCTTTGACAGCAGAGTACACTTTCCACAGCAGAAAGCATCATATACAAAGCACTCATGTAGCGCCAAAAAGCATTTGGTAAAACAGCTATCAGCAGTGACTGCCCATTAAAAAACAAAAAAACTACACTCTTAATTTTAGAAGATAAAACCAATACAGATTTCAACAAATGATGAAAATTAAAACCCCAACCAAACCAAATCACATTTCCCACATGTTCATCCCAGAACAAACACTATAAAGCCAAAGACAGGTTTTATAAACCATGAATTTCTTCCCATATGTGACTGACCTACGAGATAAAAATTTGAGGGAAACTTTAGAATCACAAGTATGTATTACAATAACTCTGTTTAATGTGCTTGATATAGAAAGACTATTAAGGAAAAATCATTCCCACCTCCAGTCCTCTCTCCTCCCGAGTTCTATCATCTACAGATGCAGAAATCACGCCCCAGCGACAATCAACGTCTGACACATAGCCTCGGTAAAAAGGAGACGCAGCACTCAAAGCCATCTAAAAACAAACAGAAGTCAGCACCTGCAGGTTCAAAATGTCACTTTCATGCTGAAAAAAGCTCCATGCAGTTATCTCTGGTCACAAAGAATCAGTTATGCAAACATAGCTCTACAGCACTATCTGTGCCTGTTTCTCATAGTGACTGAAATCCCTGGATCTTATACATTTAACTTCCTCTTTCTGATGCGAGGACATAAGATGGCTAACATTCGAACTTAACACTTTAGCACATAAATGTCTTACTAGCAACAGTAATGGTCTACAGCTTAGACTTAGTCCACTGGTTCTTAATCTACATATTATCTGCGTTAGTTCATTTCTGAATGAAGTCTTCAATGGACTTAACTAGCACACTCAGCAAATTTCGCACATGCGGTCTTTATTCTATGCCAAGAAGTATTTAAAATAAGGTATGATTTCTACTTACGACAATTGGGCAGATAGTTGCCAACTGATCATACAGGTATCTAGCCTCGGATATGCTGCAGGCTTGGAACGTTACCTGATTAAGAATTGCAAATTATTAACAACAAAGAATCATTAACATCCTCCCCAAGGAGTGAAGTCTGGGAAGAAGAATGAAGAAGGGAGGGGCCTGGTATGTAATGGTCATTCCATTGATGAAATATTTAATACAGGAGTTTGTTTAAAAGCTTGCCCTACATGAATTTTGCTAGAAAATGCTATTTAATCATGTTCAAAGCTAATATAAATAAGTTAGATTTTAAAAGTCGATAAAGAAAAGTAAGACACTAGATAAATGATAGAGTTCATTAGGCATTTCCTTCTTTCAAGAGCTTCCCATTCGCTTCGGTTGGCTGAGAGGTTACATGCGTTTTGGTAAAAAGGAGACTTGGAGATACTAAGAATGGGTTTCAGACAGCACTGGTGGCAGCATCAGGAACAGCTTGGCAGGGGCAAGACTGGAGGAAGGCAGGGAAGTTCAAATGCTGCATCCACCTAAGAAAAAGGCAAAACCATAACAAGGCACCAAGCTCTGGTGGCCAGAGGGTAGAGAGAGTAAGGGTGTGACTTAGCACTTGGCTTGGGACAAGACAGGAAGAAGAGGCAAAGGCTTACGGAGCCAAGAAACAGACAAGTGGCTGGGTCCAGAGCTGGTTCCTGGAAGAAAAACCTGGGCTGGAGAAATATTTGGGGAGTAGGCACAGACCTGAAGATGGTTAGATCACCCAGAGAGTCTGCACATGATGGGTACGTAGGACAATTAAGAGTTAGGCAGAGAAAAAGATCACATAGTGATTAGTACAAATCCTCCACAAATTACAAAAAAGAAAATAAAAAATGTTCCACCTTTTTGGGGGCAGGACACTGGGAGCAGTGGATGGGAGCAAGCGATATAAATGTGGTTGTGCTGGCACATTTGTATTAACTGCAAGCTGGGTTACTGGTCCTGATCTTCCTGCAATTCCTATGCTAAGGCTATGCTTTCATTAAAATGTGATAATTCACCAACCACTGTAGATTAAATCAACCCAGAGAAGAGCTGAGTCAGACATCAATGACGAGTATCAAAGGTTAAAACAGATAAAGATTGAAAAGGACTGGCAACTAGATCACTGATAACCAGAAGGATAGTTTCCGGAAAGAGGTGGAAACTCAGAAATCAGTCTGTGCTGGGTAAAGGTTAAAGGAGAAATGAGGAGATGGGGGAGGGTGCATAAAGTACCCGCTTATCTGCTGTGACCCCATCACAGAAACCCCCAGGACAGCAGAGATCTCTATGCCAAGTGTGAAGAACAGTGTTTGACATCTACTTAGTACTTAATAGATACGTATTACATTTATATAGTATCTTGAAGGAATGAGGGTGCTATAGAGGAGAACACAGGTGCAAAGATAAGTTTTATTTTAATAAAATAGTGAGATACTTGAAAAACTGAACCCCCAGGTTAAATTCACATGGATTGAAATTACAAGCATCGAAATGTTCCCCAAGTGTTCACCGCTGAATTCTTTTGAATAGACTTCTCTACTTTACTTAGGTCCTATTTCAGCACTTCTGAAAATGTTAGTGTGTGACTGTGAATTTTGTTTTTAAAAAGATAGTACAGTGAGCATTGTTTGTTTCCACAGGCAGATCCTAGAAAAGCCAACCCTAGAAGAGGGTGAAAATTAGCACCTGGAATTCAACAGCTGCATTACAATTGCAGGAACAATTCTAAACCTATTTACTGTCTTCCTCACTCTAGAGCTGATACCACTGCTACCAAACCAAATGCAGCTTCACTGCAGATAAAGGCTTTAGTGGAGGAAGGAAAAGAAGTTCTAATACCTTTAAAAGGTGTAACTATATGAACAGCTGGCTTCTGGTATCCATTTAAAGTATATAAAGAAGAGAAGCAATGTTACCAGGAAACTGTTGAGAGGGGAAAAGTAAAGGCTGAAAAACAGATGTTAAAAACCCAAATATTTCATCTGAAATTTATTTAGGACTAGTCAGTGTGTCTCAGTGGTTGAGCTTTGACCTATGACCCAGGAGGACATGGTTAGATTAGATTCCCATTCAAGGCACATGCCTGGGTTGTAGGCTGGATCCCCCACAGGGGTGTGCAGGACACAGCCGATTGTTGATTCTCTCTCATCATTGATGTTTCTATCTCTATATATCTCTCTCTCCCTCTCCCTTCCTCTCTAAAATCAACACAAGCATATTTAAAATTTATTAATATCTCGAAAGCAGTTGAAAGCCACATGATTTTCTAGGATGTGAGACTTCTTACCACACACAGGAACTTACTGACATAAACTCATTAAATGATTACTAAAAAGCTCCCAAGAGTCAGATTTGAATGTGGTTAAATGATTTGTCTTGTAAATTTTCCATTAATCTTGAACTACTTTTTAAACATTTTTTTCTGCTTTACAGTATAAGCAGTTGCTGGTGTTTCACTAAAGAGATTCACAGCAGGAAGTTCTGTGTTGATTTGTGGAAGCTGCTTCTGCCACACACTTCACATCTGAGCCAATTTTTTCAGTATTGAAACTGGGGTGTTGGATGTGCCATTGAGAAAAAGGATCTTATTCCCATGACAAAGCTTAAATTGGACGGAAACTATCTACCAGCAATAAAAATGTTGCTGATAGCTACCACGAGACCGCATGTTATTCAGCATTTCAAGGCAAAGAAGAGCCCTTTGGAATAGAACAACTGCAATGTCTCTGGTAAAACACCCTGGTTTAATATTAAACCAAAAAAAGGCAAGTGGTTCTCCCACAGCGCCCATAGTTTTCAAGCCGTGCACTGTGAGTTCTAGAGCTTAATGGTTCTTTATGGAAATGTTTGTAATTAAGATAGGGAGGCAGATATGCAGTTAACAGTCAAAAGGTCTCCTTTTTATGAAGTGTGACCACGTATAAGGAAACTTTCTGGCCTACGTTTATTTGGAAGCCACATATTTTATACTACCTCTGGACATCAGGAAAAGCAGGGGAAAACTGAAACCTTGGCCATGGTTACTAAAAACTCGGTATGGAAAACTCGGACCCGGGAAGCCGCTTTTGATTCCACATAGCTGTGAAAATAAACGCATTAGAGATATGTGCAGGAAGTGTGCCTGAGCTGCAGCTGTGTGAGATGATGGGGAGGCCGGTTTCTTCCTCCCCTGTGTGACACAGTGCTCAGGCTGGAGGTCCAAGGCCCTTCGGTGGGGACAGTGTGTGGTGCTGCTTCAGCCAAAATAATGAGACCTAGATAAAATCTCCTTCAAAAATAACAAGAGGCTCCCTTTTCTTTGATTTTTTTTTCAAATTTTCAACTCCTGTTTTAAGAGGATTTTAAATAAATAGTTCTATTCATAAAAACAATGAAATAAACATTAGCTTGGAGTCAGACCTAAAAGGGGCCTTAATATAGTAAACCCTTCTTTAAACTGCTAAGAAAATAGGCCCCAAAAAAGTGAAGGAAGTTACCCAAATACCAGAGTAGCCAACCCCTGCACACAGACCCTGTGCTGTCGGAGAGTCCCGGGCTCTGCCCCCCAGGCCCTAAGTGAGCCTGGGCACAGTCCCTGCGAGGGGCACCATGATCTGATTAGGTCAGAAAGGCTGTTCTACCTCCTGTATAACTTAGCCAGGGGCAGGGCAAACTCGGGCTGCTTTCTTTTTATACTGCTAAGTGGCCTTGCATGAATATAAAAACTTCAAGTCCAAACAGTTTTTCCCTTGCCTATATAAAATCACTGGAATGCATCCATTAGACTTCACTTTCAGAAGCAAGAGATTTAAGCCATGTTTATAACCTCACAGCTACACTAGATGGCAGCAGAAATCAGGTATATAGAAAGAACAGAGACAATGACCTTTTCCTTGTAGTGAAAAAGGTAGATTTTGTCAAGAGATAGTTTCCAATTGACCAAAATAACTTCACTGGTTTTCAGAAAAGCATACCAGCTACCATTTCGACCTGATTAAGTATGATTTTTAAAACGGAAACAAACCTATAAAGGAGTTATAAAGAGAAGTGGGTGAGGGCACTCGCCTCTGCCTATGGCTAATACCTGAAGACAGCAATTGCCCATCCCAAATCCCATGGCGTCCATGTAGATGTGATCCGGCTTCGAAGCCTTCGCCGCCTCGTCATCCTCAGGAAATGTTTCTATAAACGGAGACGGTGTGTTCTTATCTTTAAATACTGGGAGGGGGAAAAAAGGAATGGGTGTGAGCCGAGGATTAAACAACAACACAACAGGAATCTCTCCACCCACCATCCCTTGGACTCACTTGGCGTATTGATGACCACTTTTTCTCCTCTCCTCTGCCGGATATTTCTGGTTAGGGTACTGAAACAGACAACCAAATGCTGTAAACCAAATCAATTTGGTTGCTTATAAACAATATAAGCAATGTTTATATTGGCTCATCCAACGGTACCAAAGACCCATTATGTAAAAGGAAATTTCATCATATACAAGTAAATGAATGAAATCCTATACCTTCAAACTAATTCTGGCAATCAGTTTATAGAGCGTCAGCCTATGGACTCAAGAGTCCCAAGTTCGATTCCAGTCAAGGGCAAGTACCTTGGTTGCTGGCACATACCCAGTAGGGAGTGTGCAAGAGACAACTGATCGATATTTCTCTCCCATCGATGTTTCTAACTCTCTATTCCTCTCCCTTCCTCTCTAAAAAAATAAATAAATAAAAATAAATAAATAAATAAATAAAAATCAATAAAACATTAAAAAAAAAAAACAATTCTGAGGCCACTCTGTAGATAATTTATCGATATATGAATCAAGATACTCTGAAGGATCCTCTGAAAAAGGGCTTTACATTAATACCACTTCCCTGGTTCCTTACTCAAGACTGCTGTCTCTCCCCTGCTTAACCCCTGCTTCCCCAGCTCCCTCTAACTCTCCAGATCACGTGTTTGGAGTCCCATGGTCTGGTCTCACCCTGCACTTCTAACACTTCCCATGTTAACCCAAACTTTAACTAAACTTTAGTGCTTGCTCTCCTAGGCGTCTCTGGAGCCCCAAGACCTCATTACTGCTGCCCCCAACCTGCAGCTTTAATACTTATCCTCTAACCTGTGATGTCTAATCTAGAAGCTACGAAGCAAATGTGGCTACTGAGCACCTGAAGTGTAGCTAATCCTGATAAAAATATGCTGTGAGGAGAAAGTACACACCAGATTTTGACAACTTAGTACAAAAAAGTTTCATATTAATACTTTAAAAATAGAGATTAAAGTGAAATAATATTTTAGGTATATAGGGTTAAATAAAATATATTATAAAGCCAAGTCTACATTTTTAACTTTTTAAACATGGCTAATAGAAAATTTAACATCCTGCTGTAGACTTGGTAGTGCCACCGCCTCAGGAGCCTGCATGGATCCTCAGTCAGAAGCACCTGCTCTCCCCCAGGAGGACCCCTGCATCCCCACTTTCTTTTTAACCTCACCAGAGGATATGTTTATATTGGCTTTTTTAGAGAGAAAGGGAGAAAAAACAATCAGTTGTCCCTTATATGCGCCCCCATGGAAGATTGAACCCATAATCTAGGTATGTTTGTGCCCTGAATAGGAATCTAACCTGCAACCTCTTGGTGTGCAGGATGATGCTCTAACCAACGGAGCCACTGGCCAGGGCAGTGCTACCATTTTTTTTTTTTAAGCATCATAAGAAATGCCAACATCCCTAACTCTAGGTCAGGTACCCAGGTTCAGGTTGAAGAGTAAGACTCAAGGTACAAAGTTAGTAGACTGATGTGAGCCCTGACGCAATTTAAACCCAAGAATTAAACAGGAATAGACCTAGAAGATAACAGAAAAGATGGAGAGTGCCTATTATATGCAGATGTACATAATTTACCTTATTATCAGGGTACACAGAATGGGGAGAACAGATCACAGACACTGGTGGTAACTTAGAGGGGAAAAGATAGAAATAACTAAGGGAAAGCTTCCCAAAATAGGTGTTTACAGAACTAGGATGGAAAAGAATCTGCTCACTAAAGGAGAAAACAGTGGCTAAGCAAGTTAATGACCTTAAGAGGAGTTGGAAATGGGCAAGTCAAGCCTGGCCCCAGAAGCAATAATCAAGCAGCCTTGGATACACAACGGGGAGGGGTGTGTGTGTGTGTGTGTGGTCTTCTCTGGTTAATTACAGAGGGAGCCAGAATTCAGTAAATGCTTAAAAAGGATTCCCAGGCAGGCATATCATCCTCTCAGAAGGCAGAGATCTGAGTGAGAGGCACCTGTATTTAAACACAAAGCCATACTCACCTGAATCGGGGATGCTTGTTTATTGCTTCATCAGGAAAGAAGAGGGACCTGGAAGCTCCTCCTTCCAATGGGTTGGGTTTGACCTCAGGCAGCGTGAACCCAGGACAGCCTAATCTACAACAAATTGAGTTAATTATGCCTCATCATCATTGCACCTGTGAAGATACCTAGCATCTATCATTCCCTTTTCCAGAGGGTCAAGCACACAAATGGTTTGTAAATATTATGCTCCATCACAACTATGCCTTTGCTTTTCTTATTCACCAAGATCTTCTTTTGTGATTCCAGCCCTTTACTAACCTCATCAGAGAACTTCGTTCACTCGTCACCCACAGAACTCCCTCTAGAGCAGCAGTCGCCAACCAGTGCTCCGTGAGGTCTGAAAGGATGGCGACTGCTTCTCTAGAGAAGGCCCATCTCTTCATTCAATAACATCAACCCACATCAGCGGTAAGGTGCCCCTATTTAGCTGCTGAGGCTTCTTTTACTAGCTCTAAACTATCAGCTTATCTTTTGACCCTTGTACTGGCCCTGCCCCCAACCCCCTGGATAAGTTTTGCCTGAATCTGAAAGGAGTCTCCTGTTTTTTGCCTCTGCAGGTCACTTCACAAATACCTCAAGATTAGATTAAGTAGTGTCTCCACTGGTGTCCCCATCCACCCCTGAGATCTCTCTCTGAGCTCTGAAACCCAACCCTATTATCTACTTGACCTAAAGAAGAGTTTTAGTTCTGACACAGAAAAGGGAAGCTCTCTATGCATCCCTGAGCTGAAAGCTCCAATTCCACCTCACTTGCCATCACACCACCTGTTCTTCGAGTTAAGAATTTTAAGGTCATTGGTAAATGTGCTGTGAGAGAGGATAAAGAATCAAGTTAGTGAAAGCAACACAAGGGAGGCTCTTGTCAGGCTATAGATCAGTGGTAGGAAACTTGGTTGAGAGCCAAGACTAGCCCCCACGCCTCACTTCCCCTGTGAACAATTGAATTTGCTGATCTTATCCAGAAAATTGTTCCCAGGGTTGCTGGCACTCCTGTGGCACATGCCATGTGCGATAGGGAGTCCTTTGGGGGAGTGACAACTTCACACAGGCATTCTCCGCCAGGGCATTGATCTGGGGGTCAGAGCTCAGATCCTCAGACTCCTGCACAGCTCTGCTTTGCTTCTGGACCAGCACCCCCACAGAACCTCCTGCCAAGATGGCCAGGTTAACACTTGCACTGTCCACTCTCAGCATGTGGTCACTAGCCACAGGAGGCCTCTGAGAGCTGGACTGCAGCCAGTGTGACTGGGGAACTAAATTCTTCATTCCCTGAAATTTGATTAAATTCATGTCATATAACTGTTATTTTGGACTATAATTCCACACTAGAGAATTTTTTACCTCTTTACAGAAAGAAAAATCATACTGTTTTACACTTAAGAAACCACGTACTATTTTTACTATTGATCCCAAAATAAAACTTTATCATTTACTATAGATGTAAGGTGAAGCTTCTACAACTAAATATTATTCTTGGTTTGTTTTTAATTTCTAAAATATGTTAGGCTTTTTGAATAAAATTTATTTCATTGTTTCAACTCTCCCTCATAATGACTTGAGCAGCTCAATTTTAAAAACAAAGGTGGGCATGGGTGGCAATGGTTTCATATAGAGCCATTAACAGGAAGAAAAGACCCATTAGATTTAATTTTTAAAAGTCCATTTGCAGCCCATTGCCACACTACTAAGTGAAAACAATTCTGGTTTGTATTACAAACTCTTTTTCTTTCTAATTTGCTAAGTGAAAGATAGAATCCTCTAATGTTAAGGGGGGGGAAAGGAAAATTTAAATATTGAAACTTGTCAAATAACACCTGTAGCCTACTTATTATTCTAAATTTCATAATTACTTAACCAGCAGCTTTGCCATCTTTTCTCTCCACCCCCACGTTTGCTGGTTTTTCGGTCTCTTCATCTATCCAGTTTCTCCATTTCCACAACCCACCCTCTTCAGGCTGCCCTCATCTTCCCATTGAGCCCCCCGCTGGTCTCCTAGCAAGCCCTGCACCCATCCTACAACCACACTGACACCACAGCCCAAGTGCGGGGCTGTAGAACTAAAACATGATGGGATCTGCCCAACCCAACCTTCCCAAGGCCTCCCACTGCTTTTAGGATAGCAACTGAAATTCTTAGTGAGCACAACTGGCCCACCAACTACCTGCCCGGTGTCACCTTACCCCACACTTCCATTTCATTCTCAGCATCCTCGTCACACTGGCCAGCCTAATTCCAGCTCTGAAGGCTCGGTGCTCCCCTGGCTTATCCTAGGACTTGTGCCCATGCTGTGCCCCCTCCCTAGTACAGCCTTCCCTCTCCCCTCCTATTAAGCTCCTACTAGAACCTCGAATGTTGCTACCTGGGCCGCACCTTTCTCCACCGCGCAGAGGCCATGAGACAAACAGGTCACTCTCTCTGTGAGCTACACCCCCTCACTGCTTTCCCTCATGGTCGCATCCTCATTGCGTGGTCTGGTGTGGAGCAGGCGCTCAGGTATCCTGTGAATGGCAGTCATGATTTCCTTACCGCCTTCAAACAGTGGGCAAAGGAACATGCCAATTCTCTTCCAAGCACACCTGCCCACCCTCCCCAGCTGGGGTTTTTATTTCTGGCAGGGAGAGGGGAGTGGCCTGCACTAATGAACAAAGGAATCACAGAAAATACTAGATGTTTTTCTAAATGTTTGATGAGTTGCTTAAACAGGTTTGAACTATTTAGATGTGACCATGGAAATGTTAAAAAATAAAATTATTATCCAAGTGTCCTGAGCCAATGGAATGACTCTGAATGTCTGTGTTCATTACAGACATTTATCAAACTGTTCCAGGACATAGATACTAACCCCCAAAGCTCTTTTGAACTTTGAGGAGGTGAGCACACTTGGTAACACTCTGACGGATATTTTAGCATAGATCAGATTGACGATTTGGTAGAACCGTATTCTTATGTACAGGTCCTACATATCATTGTAGCATATTTATGTACCTCATTGTAAGCTAAGAACATAACCTCACTATTTCTATTTACTGAATATTTATGAACTTTTAGCCATCACTAGATTAGGTATAACTGAAGCTAAAAACTGCTTTACATTCCAAATTAGACAAATCTAAAACTTTCTTTTCCACATAATATCCAAATATATGGAAAAGAAAATTTTCCACATATTTTTATTTCTGGCAGGGAGAGGGGAAATATGACCTAATGTCCCTCCGCCCCTTGTTCAATGCCATAGTACCCTGGGGGCACTGAGGGTGGCCGTCCAAAAGGTGACTTCTGATAGGCCACCAATGTCACCCTTTACCAGTAGGCAAACACATGTGAGGGTGCAAGGAGCACTTGATCAGGAGACTCACTATTCCTCACAAGGTCAGAGCTGCATGGCACAGGATGTGCTGCTCCCTCCACCCTGCCACCCAGCCACTGTGGTCCTCCTGGTCTTTCCCACCAAGCCCAGACACAGCCCTTACCACAGTGCTCCAGGCCACCACCATCCACGGGAGCTGGTGTGCAACGTCTGCCTATAGCTCTAATAGGAGGCTGCCTAAGGCAGTGCTATGAAGAATGACCAGTCTGTGGTCTGTCAAGTATGAGAACTGTAGAGTCAAATGCTTGGTCATGATTTGCTCTTTAAAACCTTGAGCTCCGAACTGTCCCCTGGGGCATGTTCATGTAGAAACTAACCTGGGAAATGAAGTTATTGTGCAAATAGCCTGATTTTCTTTTAATAAAGAAGTTGCCTCCCTCCGGCGCTGTCTCATGTTGTCTTCGACTGTGTTGAACTCGGACATGGTTCCTCCATATGGCTGTCCAGGCGTCCCTTCAATCATGTAACTCCCGTACTCCGGTCTCCAAAGTGTAGGGTGGCTACAGAGGAAGAAAAACATTTGCTTCATCTTATTCTTTGCTGCAGTCTACTCGATTCTTAGAAGTTCTTTTAAAGCACTGCCTCAAAAATGTTAGAAACTATTAGGTATATATGAAGCTAAAAACTGCTTTTTAATTCCCGAAGGCCATTAATTTTCTATAGCTCTTCAACTATATAAGGGTTAAAAGTACCAGGCCCAAAATATTTATAAATAACCGAAAACACGCACAGGGCACTCTCTGTCCAGACAAGCTAGTCCCTGTGCAGGAAAGGAGATGAGGCCCTAAGGTCTCTTTCAGTTCTGGGCTGAGGTGAGGAGAAAAATAAACCACAGAGTACAGGCCCTCTTCCCCTCTTTGTCTAGTTAAATAAATATTTAGAAAATATCCCATCAGCCAAACAAAACCAATCTGCAAGTTTAATCTGGCACCATAGTTCGTGGTCTCAGTAACACTATGGCAATTTTTAAAAATAATAAGCTATATTTTGCCTTTACTGTTCTAAGTGCTTTAATATATTAATGGGTTTTGAAATGTCAACACTCTCCAAGGTAGGTATCATTATCCCTACCATACAGATGAGGAAACAGGCACAGAGGAGTTAAGTGACTTGCCTAAGGTTACCCAGCAGTTAAGTACAGGAACCAGGATTTGCACCCAGGCAGCTGGGAATCAGAACCTGGGCTCTAAACTGGTATGCTCTCTGTCCTTTACATTCAAGGAAAGACTCTATTCTAGTAGTTTGACAGTTTCAGAAACACTAGAACAGCTTACTTTGGGTTTTTCTTTTCCCCCTTTTCTTGTAGAGCCTCAACGACTTCTTCTCCAGACAGGAGCAACTGGACTCTTTTATTTTCATGATCAAAAGACACCAACATGTATTCCACCTGTTGAAATTGAGAGAAAGATGAACATTCTTTCAGGTTGGTGCTGTGTGACCTTTAAGAGAAGAAGGCAGGGAAACATGGAGGTTGGAAAGGATCGACAATAACTTTAGACTCACATTCCCTGACACGAAGGCATAAAATAAACATTTGTTTGCAAAATTTGAAAACCTGGAGAAAATAGTTAACAGTGGCACTGAGGACCACTTCTTTCCCCCCTTATTCTTAATATCTTAAAAGAAGTCAAGATGCCCATTTTGTAAAATTGTACTTCAAGAGAAAGTATTTTAAGCTAAGATTCTAAACATTACACTGGCAAGAAGTTGCATTTTAAAATTTATTTCCTCAACTGGCTTATTATAAAGTGGGTAATCTGGGCATTTTGACCCAAGGTAGGTGGATCCTTACTTCCTGGCAGGTTATTTAATAATCCCACTTAAGTCCCACTACTGTAGAGTTCAATAATCAACACACCAATATGGAGCAGTTATTTTAGAAGTTTCAACCAGTTGGTGCAAGCCATGTCAAACTCTCTGCATGCCTCATTTATTTGGACCGTGTCAGCCTTTGAGTTTGACCTGCTTGATTCTGTTTTTCAATAAAAATGTAAGACAACTTCCCAACTCTGAAACCAGATCAAATTGACAATGCAAGGTGATCTAGGGCAGTAGTCGGCAATTTGTGGCTCTCGAGCCACATGCGGCTCTTTGGCCCCTTGAGTGTGGCTCTTCCACAAAATACTGTGTGTGGGCAGTGCAATTGAAACTTTGTGGCCCATGCACAGAAGTCGGTTTTCAGCTCCCAAAAGAAATTTCAATCGTTGTACTGTTGATATTTGGCTCTGTTGATTAATGAGTTTGTCGACTACTGATCTAGTGCATTTATAACAATACCTGGGGGAATTCTGAAAAAATCAGAGTTCAGTACCAAAGTAAGACTTTTCTGGACAGAGTACACATAAAACCTACTTTTGGTTTCCCTCAAATCAGGTACTTTAAAAGTACCTGATATGAACACTGAAGTTTATGAATCTCCACAATTGAAATAAAACACACATTACCCATATTTAAGGGAAAGGTATGGAAATAGATCTTCCAGGCAAACACTTAAGAGTACCTTTTGCACAAGACAGAGAAGATGAGGCAAACTGATGCCCCACAAGGCAGACCAATACACAGATGTATTTTGTTTGGCTTATCATATGAAAATAAGAATTTTTTTTAAAAAAAGCAAGCAACAATACATCTACTATCTGACAGCTGCATGTCAATTCAGATTCCCAGCCTTAGAATCACACACCTAGAGCCCAGGACTATGTCAGAGTCCTGCAGGGCTGGGGCTGGGCTGCTCCCCTTTGGGGGGTGCTCTGTGGTCCACAGTGGCCTATTCCCTTTTTTATGTGTACCTGTCCCACCTTGGAAGGCATGTGAGCCAGCTTTCCTTAGCACAGAAATGGTACCCCTTCAAGAAATGGTTTTGCCCTTCAGCTAAGAAATAGAATTAACGGGGGGTGGAGATGGAGAGGGGGGAGGAGGGGTGTTAGGAACCATATGACATAGCCTGGTAAGTTTAAGCAACAAAATAATGAACTTTCTTTTCTTTTTTTTAAATATATTTTATTGATTTTTTTACAGAGAGGAAGGGAGAGGGATACAGAGCCAGAAATATCGATGGTAGAGAAACATCAACCAGCCACCCATTGCACACCCCCTACCGGGGATCTGCCCGCAACCAACGTACATGCCCCTGACTGGAATCGAACCTGGGACCTTTCAGTCTGCAAACCGACGCTCTATCCACTGAGCCAAACCGGTATCGGCAAAATAATGAACTTTCAATTAACTTTTGTTAACTGTTGCTATGGACTGAATGTTTTTGTCCCCCAAAATTCATATGTAATAGTATTTCATTTCCAATGTAATAGTATTTGAGGTGAGGCCTCTGGGTATTTAGGTCAGGAGAGTAGAGTCCTCATGATGGAATTAGTGCCCTTAGAAGACAAGTGATCTCTCTCTTCAATGTGGGAGGACACAGCAAGAAGGCGGGCATTTATGAGCCAGGATGGGGCCCTTCCCTGGAACTAAATCTGCTAACACCTTTGACCCTGGACTTCACAACTTCCTGAAGTGTGAGAAATAAATGTCTGTTTAAGCCATCAAGTGTGTAGTACTTGTTACAACAGCCTGAACGGACAAGATAGTTACTTTATCAGTGAGTCTAAGTTCCCATTCATGCTTCTCCATCAAAATTTTTTAGTTCAAAAAGTAGGTAAGACTACTTGATTTAGGTACATGAGCTAGAAGTGTACAATCACTCCATGTGAAATGCCTGAAACTTGGGCGGCAGAATCTGGAACTGCTCTCAATTTTAAGTGCAGGCTTTCAGATAGCATCTACAGGCCCATGACTTCTGAATAACAAAAACATGATGGAACAGGAACCTTTAAGTCTCAGAATGAATATATAAAGTATCATAGGTATGAGAAACAAATTTACCTCTAAATGATCATAATGAGAAAAGGTATGTCATGAACTTTGATTTATGGATTCTGATCTTCAAACCCATCAAGCCAAGTTGACATTTTCACCCTTTTCCAGATAGGCAAAGAGGCTCAGAGATGCCGAGTAAGTAGCCCAAGGCCATAGTATCAGAGCAGGGATTTGAGCCCAGCTCTGACTGGCCTCAAGGCCCAGCACACCTTACTGCTAGGACTATAGAGGATGCCAGATTTTGTTAGAAATAAGCTTTTTAAAAAAATTGCAGTAAGCTACATGAGGCAGGGGGAAAGTTTATAATACTGGCTGAAAATCTCTCAAATTGATTATGCCTCAATTTTATGAGGTGGGCCTGACAATGTATCATAGTAGCTGTGATATAACAGTATGGTTACAGATTTAAATAGATGCGTAGGTTCATCTCTTATGCTCCGGACGAGTGGAGCGCACATGTGCTCTATCCAGCATTCCTAACTCTCCCAGGTACAAGGAATCTTCTCCTTCAGTATCCGCTCCTTCTATCACTGGATTCAACATATCTGCCTGGCAGCATATGTTTTCAGGGTTATCTTCTGGAAGATGAAGAGAAACTTCCTAGCTTACTGGGTTCCCATCATTTACTATCATAATGAACAAGAACTTTTGTACCAATTGCATAACCTAAATTGCAATTACTTTTGTTAGTTTCCTAGTTTTTAAATAGTTGAAATTCAAAACTCATTCTTAGCCCACAATTTAAGAGCATGGGTGGGCAAAAAAGAGCCAAGCACTCAAACTCAGTTTGAGCTTTACATACCAGCCAAATGGATGATACTTAAAATGCTAACAAACCCAATTCTCAACTAAAAAATATTCAGCATCGATCTCATTAAGCAAATGAAACAGAAAAACATCAGAGCACTTATCAAGTGAGAAAGAAAAACTTACTTCTGGAAACAAATCCAAATTCAGTTAGAAGCCTTAAAACTCCCGGAAGATTTTTCAAACTCAAAATTTAAGGTGTTCTGAAGTAGCTGTCCCTACAGTCACCTTAACCATTCTGTACCAGGGCCCAAAATGGTTTTTTATCCTCTTGGCTTTTTGTTATCTTATTTAATCCTTCCCCCACTAACTTCAATACATTTGTATTTGTTTCCAATTCTAGTTCATACAAACACTCGAATAACTAACTCAATCTTTGAGTCAAACTAGAGCTAAAATGGATTTTGGCTCAGTAATCTTGCTGTTGAGAGATAATAAAATGTGATACAATAAGACAATGCTTTCCCAATATAAAATACCTAAAACCACAGTGATTTGTTTTATTCCTTCTGGAGTTTGTCCCTATCCTAAATCTTTCTGCACACAAGAGATGAGAGGAGAGGAAAAGATAAAATCAAAGAGAAAATAACAAAACAGGATATACAGGCCCTTCGGTACATAACGTAGATTCCAATGATTAAATTGAATCCGGTTTCTGACTTCGAAAAGCATGTAGGCGGTACACCCAGAGTTATAGCAACATCTATGTGCACCACACACACACAACTCCAAAAGTGTATGCCCAAAGAACATAAAATGGACTGCAGAGTGACTAATCCAAATCTGTGTAATTAATACATCATTTGGAAAAAGCAAAAATAGCCACTGCACTATTCTCAGTACACAGATCATAATGCCCTAGATGTAACTTAGGGACACTGCTATTTGGTGCCCATCAGTTGTCTTTTTTAGTGGAGGGAGAATAAGCCCCATAAAAATAACCTACCACTCTTTGTGAGAAACTCATATTTTAAAAATGCACATTACTCTTTCTACAAATGAAAATCTTTTGAATTTCATACTTAAGTGGCTAAATGTTATCCTACTAGAATAACAGTCACTAATATCTCTAAGCTGTTTAATCAAAGGCACATTCAAAGACTATTATATAGTTTACTGTTACATAGCATTGCTAGGAATGACATGTACACAATAACCCCTTAGTTATTTAATGCAGGTTTGCACAAGCACAAGATGCCTTATTCATCTGAAATTAGGCCAATAAATATAATCTTAATTGAGGGTGATGTAAGTACTCAGTACAATGCTGATCATATAGTAAGACTGTGAAATATTTGTGACATTGAAGTTCAAGGTAACAGTAAATATTAACTGTAAACATTAAACTTTTTAGTATGTTTGTTGTCTTTAAATGGTATTTACCAAGTTTAAAATAAAAGTTTTCCTTTTTAATACTACAACAAAAACATTCTGATACTCTACCATTAAGGTGCGGGATACAGAAAACTTAGAATGTCCAAGGAAAGGCTAGATATTTTATAAAATACTTCTTTTTAAATTTCTACTCTCTGGAAGTGAAAGCTGTGCTTAATCAGGCAAACACTCTACTTCTCTAAGACTCAGAAGCAGTTACAGGAACATCCCTATTTAGGGAGATTATACTTTGAGAAAATTCCTTTGTCTAAAGCCACCCTACTGAAATTCAAAATTCAGGGTTGGGGGCCAGCTCCTCTATTCACTGTTGGC